GTTGCCGGGGACCAATTCGTCACCTACAAGTTCCTGCAAGAGAGCTAGTCTAGGGTTTTATCTTTTTCCTTTTTAGTTTTGTTATTTTCCCTTTTCCTTTTGATTTGGTTTTTCCTTTTTGTTTTTGATCTTTTTCAGGCTTTCCTAGTTAGATATGGAAAATGATTCACAAGTCCTTGTTCCTATAAAGGCGATTCCACTTCGTCAAATACCACCTCAAAGAAACCTCTTGGACGAACAAGAGATGTCAAGCCCTCAAGCACCACCACCTTCTTGGGATAGTCCTCCAAAACTATCCTCCTTGAAGACAAAGAAGAAACTTCTTCCCTACCTTGAAGCAGCCGACCTGGAGACATCTAGCCAAGCCGCATCTTACAGAGAAGAACACCTTCTAGCCACGCCAGAAGAGGAGATTAACCCTGAGATGATTGAGTTCGTGAAGAGAGATCAATTCCATCATCTGTTTTCAGAGTATGCGCTAGAGCATCTGGATCACTTTGATAATCTTTGTGATTCCTATGGAGTCTTTGACTTTGAGAAGAAGATGATGCTATTCAGCACATCACTAGCTGGACCAGCACTAGATTGGGCGCAGCATGAGCCACTCTCTACAATCGAGTCATGGATCGATTTTAGAGAAGCCTTCTTGAAGAGATTTGCAAGGCTACCACCTTTCAAGTCCAAGTACAATCACTACTCTCATCAGCTGGAGAGAGAGCGTGAAGAAGAAGAATGGGGAGGCATACCACCCCATCTTGAAGAGCTAATCAAGCATGTGGAGAGAAACCCTTTCTACAATTCTACTTCAGAGTGTGCAAAGGAGCATCTATGCAACTTTGAGCAGCTTTGCCACGACTATGGAGTTGGAGATAACCCCAAGAAGATACAACTTTTCCAACTATCTTTAGCTGGACAAGCCAAAGAATGGGCTAAGTTCAACGCCCAACATGCTTTCAAGACTTGGAATGGATACAAAGGAGCTTTCCTCTACAGATTTGCTAAAGGTCCCATTTATGTTCCACCACCACGCCCCAGTAATTTTTCGATGGATTTCCGACGGTTTTCAACAGCACAAAAACGGTCGGTAATCCGTCGGCAATTTCCGACGGATTAGAACTCGTCGGAATTATTGGGATATTTTCGATGGTTTAGCGACAAATTTTATTTCCATCGTATATAGGGAAATATTTCCGACAGTGTTTCAACAGGCATGAAGTCCGTCGTAAATCACAGGAAACATTTCCGACGGTTTAATGAGGAATACAAAATCCGTCGGGAAAATTTTGATTAATTCCGTCTACAATTCGTCGGATATATTTGCGATAAATTTCCGACAAATTTCCGTTGAGAAAATAAGCGATGACTTTCCGACGGAATCATTTTCTGACGGATTATCGACAGATTTCCCGATCAGGACCATTGCGGATAATCTCTCAGTATTCCGCCGGGAAACTGTTTCGACGGGTTCCGACGGCTTACTATCGACAGATTATTGATGAACATCCCGACCATGATGGTTGTCGATAAACTCTCGGTAATCCGTCGTTAATAATTTTCGACGGATTCCGACGGTTATTTACGACGGATTTCCGACGAATGTTGTTTTTCCGACGACTTGTAATTGACGAATTATAACGGTCGGAAATCCGTCGATATAGATGGTTTCCGACGGTTGATCGACAATTTTCTCCATCAGTTTCACGCTGTTTTCTTGTAGTGCCGGACTTCAAACCAGTTCAATGCCACTGCATCAACTTTGGATGGAGCTAGAAAACGATCTACTCAATGGATTTCATCAAGACTAGTTCCCTGCGTGCTCTGATTGAGTTAACTTTCCAACGCAACTGGAACGGCCTCATTTGGATGAGTAGAAAAGGACTTATAGCCAAAAGAGCGAAGACTGTCCAAAGCCGATCTATCGAGAATCGACGCCCAAACCGCGCAGAACGGCCGGCCGAGGAACGCATGTTCCGCTCTCGGCCAAAATTGCGTCCGTCCGTCTGAAGTCTCGGCCAAAGTTCAAAACCGTTCGGCCGATCATGCATCACGACCCGGGAAACTAAGACCCGCAGTCGGCCACGCCACGACCGTCCACGCCTCGCCGCGCACGACCATGCCGCGCGAGCCGGGAAACAAAGCCTCGCGGCCGCGTAACCTATCTCGCGTACCACGGCCGATGGTTCCGGCTCGTCCCAAGTCCGGCCGAGAAACCATCGACCATTCCATCAACCGTCCGACCACACCGGCCGACCGTTAAATCATCCGGCCACGACCGTTCCGACACGGCCACAACCCGACTGTCGGGCCGATCGTCCCGACCGACCGTCTGAACGCCGCGGTCGCCCCAAAGCCGTTTTTGAAGCCCAATCCGCACAATCCAAGCCCAAAGCCGGCGCCGACCTAGCAAGATTAGGTCTAGCCGCTTTTTCATACTTAGTGTATTATAAATACTTCTTTTTAGCCTTGTAACTCAAGAAGGAGAGAGACCACAATATATTTTACATCTTTAATAAAGTTTTGGTTGCTTTTACTTTGTTCTTGCGTGTGCTCTTTCTAGAGAGGATTCGAATCTCTGTTCTTATGAATATGAATTCGTGTTCCTTCTCTATGTCTGAGTAGTTTACTTGTTAAGTGATAGGAATCAAAGGAAGCATCAACTAGATCCGACACAATTAGGTACTTATAATCTCCATCTTCTACTTAAGCTTGTTGTTAATCTCGGCCATAAGCATATAAACTTGGGTTGATTTGACCTCGATACGTATCATTCGCTCTTGAAAGTATTTGTGGCATCCTTTAGAAACGCGAAAGTTATGTACTTTAGTTGAACAATGAACTTATCAAACTAAAGCGATATCACCTAAGGATATACCAAAAGTTTAGCGACTAGGTAGATTAACAAAGGGGTCGGAGCCTCGACAGTGGAATGATCATACCTTAGTGTTTCAAGTTCTAGAATGACACCTAATTGCAGTAACCCTAATTGATTGATTTCTTGCTTCATGAATTGCTTATCTTAAGACTATCCTATTGCTTAGCCCTTTTCTCCTATTGATCTTATTCTATTTGAAACTTGCATGCCTTTACTCTTACTGCACTCAACCAAACCTTATACTTTTGCCCTAGCTCGATCTCGAACTTATAGCTTGTAGTGTGCAATCTGGTCCTCGTGTTCGATACCCGTTTACTACTTCTGACCTGTGCACTTACAGAATCAGGGATAGGAAAGGGGAAGACCTGATCCCGCGATCAAGTTTTTGGCGCCGTTGCCGGGGACCAATTTGTCACCTACAAGTTCCTGCAAGAGAGCTAGTCTAGGGTTTTATCTTTTTCCTTTTTAGTTTTGTTATTTTCCCTTTTCCTTTTGATTTGGTTTTTGATCTTTTTCAGGCTTTCCTAGTTAGATATGGAAAATGATTCACAAGTCCTTGTTCCTATAAAGGCGATTCCACTTCGTCAAATACCACCTCAAAGAAACCTCTTGGACGAACAAGAGATGTCAAGCCCTCAAGCACCACCACCTTCTTGGGATAGTCCTCCAAAACTATCCTCCTTGAAGACAAAGAAGAAACTTCTTCCCTACCTTGAAGCAGCCGACCTGGAGACATCTAGCCAAGCCGCATCTTACAGAGAAGAACACCTTCTAGCCACGCCAGAAGAGGAGATTAACCCTGAGATGATTGAGTTCGTGAAGAGAGATCAATTCCATCATCTGTTTTCAGAGTATGCGCTAGAGCATCTGGATCACTTTGATAATCTTTGTGATTCCTATGGAGTCTTTGACTTTGAGAAGAAGATGATGCTATTCAGCACATCACTAGCTGGAACAGCACTAGATTGGGCGCAGCATGAACCACCATCTACAATCGAGTCATGGATCATTAAGAAAGCTTCTGAAAATGCAAGGCACCACCTTCAGCCAAGTACAACACTACTCTCACACAGGAGAGGAGCGGAAAGAAAAAAAGAGCATACCACCCACGAAGAGCAACAACATGTGGAGAGAAACCCTTTCTACAATTCTACTTCAGAGTGTGCAAAGGAGCATCTATGCAACTTTGAGCAGCTTTGCCACGACTATGGAGTTGGAGATAACCCCAAGAAGATACAACTTTTCCAACTATCTTTAGCTGGACAAGCCAAAGAATGGGCTAAGTTCAACGCCCAACATGCTTTCAAGACTTGGAATGGATACAAAGGAGCTTTCCTCTACAGATTTGCTAAAGGTCCCATTTATGTTCCACCACCACGCCCCAGTAATTTTTCGATGGATTTCCGACGGTTTTCAACAGCACAAAAACGGTCGGTAATCCGTCGGCAATTTCCGACGGATTAGAACTCGTCGGAATTATTGGGATATTTTCGATGGTTTAGCGACAAATTTTATTTCCATCGTATATAGGGAAATATTTCCGACAGTGTTTCAACAGGCATGAAGTCCGTCGTAAATCACAGGAAACATTTCCGACGGTTTAATGAGGAATACAAAATCCGTCGGGAAAATTTTGATTAATTCCGTCTACAATTCGTCGGATATATTTGCGATAAATTTCCGACAAATTTCCGTTGAGAAAATAAGCGATGACTTTCCGACGGAATCATTTTCTGACGGATTATCGACAGATTTCCCGATCAGGACCATTGCGGATAATCTCTCAGTATTCCGCCGGGAAACTGTTTCGACGGGTTCCGACGGCTTACTATCGACAGATTATTGATGAACATCCCGACCATGATGGTTGTCGATAAACTCTCGGTAATCCGTCGTTAATAATTTTCGACGGATTCCGACGGTTATTTACGACGGATTTCCGACGAATGTTGTTTTTCCGACGACTTGTAATTGACGAATTATAACGGTCGGAAATCCGTCGATATAGATGGTTTCCGACGGTTGATCGACAATTTTCTCCATCAGTTTCACGCTGTTTTCTTGTAGTGTCGGACTTCAAACCAGTTCAATGCCACTGCATCAACTTTGGATGGAGCTAGAAAACGATCTACTCAATGGATTTCATCAAGACTAGTTCCCTGCGTGCTCTGATTGAGTTAACTTTCCAACGCAACTGGAACGGCCTCATTTGGATGAGTAGAAAAGGACTTATAGCCAAAAGAGCGAAGACTGTCCAAAGCCGATCTATCGAGAATCGACGCCCAAACCGCGCAGAACGGCCGGCCGAGGAACGCATGTTCCGCTCTCGGCCAAAATGTCCGTCCGTCTGAAGTCTCGGCCAAAGTCCAAAACCGCTCGGCCGATCAGGCATCACGACCCGGGAAACTTAAGCCCGCGGTCGGCC